ATGAAGACAGGCTGAGGAAGTTGGGGCTGTTCAGCCTGAAGAAGAGAAGGCTGTGTGGAGACCTCACAGCAGCCGTTCAGTATCTGAAGGGGGACTACAGGGATGCTGGGGAGGGACTCTTCATTAGGGACTGTAGTGACAGGACAAGGGGTAACGGGTTAAAACTTAAACAGGGGAAGTTTACATTGGATATAAGGAAGAAGTTCTTTACTGTAAGGGTGGTGAGGCACTAGAATGGGTTGTCCAGGGAGGTTGTGAATGCTCCATCCCTGGCAGTGTTCAAGACCAGGTTGGACAAGGCCTTGGGTGATATGATTTAGCGTGAGGTGTCCCTGCCCATGGCAGGGGGGTTGGAACTAGATGATCTAAAGGTCCTTTCCAACCCTAACTGTTCTATGATTCTATGAAAATATTTTTGTAGCAGCTAGGGTCATAAGTGAACATAGTAATTTCAATCTGAAAGCAGAAGCCAAGGGTCTGTAAGTTTGCCGAGGGGCCTCGTGTGGTCTAACGCTAATCAGGTAGGGGCTGCTGGTGCTTGGAAAAGAACATGAAGAAAGGTAATTGCTAGTCCTGACCTGTCAGAGCTGCTCCTTGGTGCACCAAGTCCAACTTCCCCTTACACTTCCAAGTTATGTACAGTAAAATTTCTTCCAAGCTAAACAAAATCAGAGGCTTTTAGGAACTTAGAAATGTCTGCTTAATTTCAGTGTCAATAAGCCCCTGCTCCAACTCATTCTTAATATATCAAAATTAAATGCTTTAAACATATTTATCTAGTTGCTATGGCTTCGCCTGGTGTGTTAGACACTTTATCCATCAAATATGACAATTGAATAATATTTTTATTTGCAGATATGGATCACAGATCCTTTGCATTGTACTATTCCCTTCCCCCTTTTCCTGAGTTTTGAACTCAGTCGAAAATCTGTTCCATAATATGGTGGGTAAATGAATAACAGTCACAGATGGCCTCTGGAGATTTCATACACGCTGCAATTCATTTGTTCAGGAATGAAAAAAGAAAAAAAAAAGAGAGACCCTTGTCTTGTGAGGGTATTATCAGCGACAGCAGATCAGACACTGTAATGCTGCTTTGCTTTGTGGATTCAACCCATTTCCTAAGCTTTTATGACTTGGCATTTACTGTTCCTGAATTTGAATTTTTTTTAAGTGGAAAGTCAAAATCCACAATGAAAATGATCGAATGCAAGGAACTGTGGCAGTTACAAGTTACAATTTATTTTTACAATCCTGAGTGGAACTATCATGTGCTACTGTAGAGAGATGCTCAAGAGCTGCAACCTGTAATTAGCAAAAAGATCTTCATTCACAGATGACTGTTGAGAATTAGTTAAACCTTGCAGTAGGCCCTGAGTTCCTCAGGAGGAAATGCTAGAAAAATAAGAAACATAATATGGAAAGCAGTATATCATTTTACTGCTTGGGTGTCTTGCTCAGGGTAAGTCATAAAGCCTATTTGCAAGCAAGCATGAGGGTTAGTCCCCAAGACTCACTTTTGCCTCTAAATTCAGGGCAGCCATCGTGGGAGGAAGGGGTGGGATGACTGATGTGTCATCAGGGGAAAAGTCATCCTGCAATAGGTGCAGGGAATTTGTCTCAAGAGTGAATTGGACAAACTTGATTCTGTTTATGTAATGACATAAAAAAATATTGCTAATGGTCAAATGTAGTACGGTGATTTAATTATACATACTGACACACCATCACCCTGCGCATGGCCAAGCTGCAACAGGCTGAGTGAATATTTATCTTTGCTCAATATTGAGCCCTCTCTGAGTGACATTTCATGCCTTTCATTCCACCCAGCAATTGGCCCTCACTGCTAAGGCAGGCTAATGGTTACCCTGCTGAAGATGCTGGCTGAGAGGCCCTGCTCTGTGCCAGGGCTTTCTTTGGGTTGGAAGTAAACTGCCCAAAGCCTTCAGTAGGCATTTTCCCAGGTGGATGCCTGAGGGCTGACTGTGCATCCCATGGAGAGTCCTGATACCCTGCAATCTCTGCCCTGTGGATGAAAGTCCCTGTGTGGATATGGGTCACCCACATCCCATGGGGAAAGAGGTGGCATCCACTGCCAGGGACATGCAGCGCTGGTGGGAGTGCCTTTGCTCATCCACCTGGGATGGCAGGAGGTCAGGGAACCAGGAGGTTAATATACTGGCTGAATCCTCTCGGGGCTGCAGCTCCCCTCCCCGAAAAGCAGCAGTGATTAAACAGACTCTTTCCTCTGTGGTTTAATAGATGGCTCTTGCTGCAGTGCTTGGGGACCCTCTGACAGGGCGCTGTGAAAGGGCAAAGGGGTACTAATAGCTGCTGTCTTTTCCAGCAGCCCCAGCCAGAGATAGTTCTGTATATAGCTGACAAGCAGTCAGCGTCTGCTCCCTGTCTCCGTTTGCACTTCATCGAGTTATCTCCTCTCAAGCAAAGAAATCCCAGCTGATTGAACAGCACATTCATCATCTGGATTTTGCCTGTATCTTTTCCTGTACCAATGGTGCCATAAAAAGCCCACCAGAAAAGTTGACAGAAATCTGCTCTTCCACTAAAAGCTTTTGCAGAGCCACACTAAGATCTGAAGAGGGGGAAAAAAAAATCAAAACAAACCCCAAACTTCTTTTCCTGGCTGAGCTGCCAATCAAGGAACATTAAACAAAAAAAACCACTAAGCAAAAAGATTAGTTCTGCTCTTATTTGTTTGTAAAACAAAAAGCATGAAATATTTAGCAGTATTGTAATGCAAACCAGATGGGAATAATGCCAGCTTTCAAGGCCACCGATAACCACCCCCTTTTCATGCTGCTGGAGCAGCGGGACGAGGCAGGCAGCCCATTAGGACAATTTATGAACTAGACTTCCACAGAGGGAGTTCTAGCAAGAGGTCCACGGCTCGTACAGAGCAACCCTGATAACATCTGTTAGGGTTATTCATTGAAGAGGATTATATTACAATCCCTCTTAATACCACGACTGCTACAGTAAAACAGGATGAGCCTTCAGTTTCATTTGCTCCAGCAATATGTGTTTATCTTTTGCTGCAGTTGGAAACCAAGGCTGCATCCATGGTATGTCACAGAATGCAATTAGAAAGCTTGAAATATTAATGCAGAAAAAACCTCACCACCCCTTCTAATCTCTTATGGCTGTAGGGCTCAGCTTCTACGTGCAGCATCAACACACCATCAGCCTTTTTCCAAGGAAAACCACTCCCCTTTAATTCTCCAGGACTGAGATACATTTTATTTACATAGTCCTCACTCGCTAACCTTGCTCCATCCTTTATTTAAGACTTTGCTAATGACATATTTTTTTCTCCTTAATTTACCTAAGTGTATAATGAATGCTCACATCCGAAATGACCTCATTATACTGGCAAGGACTTTTGTGTGGATGCAATTTAGTGCACAGGCATAAGGCAGAGGAGAACTCACTAAGTGGAGAGGTTTTAAGCATTCTGTAAATTCCCCGTTGACTACAAGCCAGATTCTTACTGCCACAAATTGACTCAGTTCCAACAGCTCCAATGAACCTACACTGATTTACTCCACTTGAGGGTCTTACCTTATTACTTTTATTTATTGAACTTGCCACCTTTTGCTGCTACAACCTAAACAGATACTTCCATCCTCTAGCAGCAGGGTTGCTATCTAAATCAGGTATTTCTCCAGTAATATATGACTTAAGAGATTTATAACTGCCTGGACTATTGCACTGTCCTCTAACAGTGTTTATAATAATTCTCGTGATGGTCTCAACTCCCACCAATCAGCTCTAGTTGTTTGCAGCCTGAACCTGGGCAACAAATATTCATTCACTATACAAGCATGAGCTGTTTTAGCTATTCTTAGCCACTTTTTGCCCCTACTGGACATCAGTCTTTCCTGGTCTATGTACTGTGTCTGGGACAAAATCAAGTCCCAGGTTTCTTCGCTGGTTCCAGAAGAGCAGGCCCGATATGCACAAAGAAGCCTACTTTCTGGCTCCAAAAAAAAAACCCAACAAACTGCAAGATGAAAAAAATGCATTGCAAAGGAGAAAAACAAAAAAACCCCAAGCAAATCCAACAGAAATTTCTTTTGTGCACTCATTGTATCCCTTATGGGAATGTAACTGTCCCACCATGACAGTCTGTTGCTCCTACAGCCCTGGAATTTTACTCTCTTCTCTTCTGGGAGGGATTCGAGCTGCTGCTCTGATCTTGACTCAGTTATAATCAGGGGAAGTGTTTGCATTAGTACATTTGGGGGCTTAGCAGAAGACAGCTTACAGGAAGGCACAGGAGTACATGGTCCAAATACCTGAGAGAAGTCAAAGCCTTGGATAATGCTCAGCATATTCATAAAAGCAACGGGGAACCTAGGCTACAGGTTCACCAAAACTTGTGGTGGTTTTCCACTCCCCCAGAAGTAACTGCCTGTGGAGCCCTTTGATGTCACAGATCCTGGCAGACTTCAACTCATAAAGATTCAGGAAAGAAACCAGCAATTACCTGGATACTAATGAGAGTTGTGCATCCCCACATACATGCTGCAGTGATTACTTTCCAGACAAATCAACAGTGGTTAAACTCATACACTGCTTGCTCGCCACATGCGACTGGCTTTGACTTTAAATCTGAGGTTCTCAAAAAATTTCCCTTTATCTTGGGGAACCCCATAGAGAGCATCAGAGGCCAGCACCAGAAGAAATCATACTGAGTTGCAATGTGAGTTAGCAAATTAATTTTGTGGGGGCAATTCTATTCAAACAACTGCACAGTCTCATAGAAAAACTGGTATTTTCGATTAAAGGGCTAGAATGAAGTAGGTACCATTCAGCACAATCTTCTTTCAGTAGTACATGGGCAGACAAGACAGGCAGCAGCAAATTTTATCCTTGCTTCACTTGTTCTGGGTATTTCTAGGTCAGCCCAAATACTCAGACAGTAAGAAATAAGCACAGCAAAAATGTGAAACCACCCCCCCAGAATAATTTAAAAGTCCTTAAAAAGAAACACATGTGTGTTTATTTACTGCATTGTAACTGCAACATCAGATATAACTATATTTCATTACAAAAAAGGACACATGCAGTAAAATACTCTGATTTTATAATCTGATTCAACATAGTTCATTGGTAACAGTGGAGCATCACAGAACAGTCACAAGGCTAGGGCTTGGGGTAATGAATTTCCAGTCTCTTTGTCCTACTTGCAAACAGAAAAGCCACATCATTTTTTATTCTTTTTCCACTGAGGGATAAAATTTTGGAATAATGCAGCCTGATTGCAGGTCCCAACTGCCCTTTAACTCCCCAATGTGTCTTACAGAATCAGATTTTTTACTTGAGAAAATATTACGCTTCTAACAAGGCTGAGGAATTGACAGTATTTCCCAGGCAGAGAGCAGAAATCCTTACATGTTACACCACAGCCAAGGTACAAAGCAAGGGCCTCTGCTTCACAGGTGCACAGAAGCCAAAGCTGTGAGTTACTTTAATTATTGTTCTGAAGAATGAGATCAGGCCATTTTCTGCAACATTTCACTGTGGCTTTCCATTAAGTTCATCTGTGCATGAGGCTTAGATGGATTTAATCTAGCATTTCAGCTATGGAATAAATCCAGAATACACAGCAGGAGTCCACAGTGCAGAAAAGAACACAAGAAGTTGCCCTGAAGTACTCAAAATACAGCCTTTTAACTGGTTAAAAGGACCCATTCTTCATTAGAAAAGACCTTTATTCTATCACTGCTATTCACAAATCATAGACTCTTATTTTTTAATATTTCCCATGAAATTTCATGGAAGTAATTTTGAAATAAGGGCCTAAACAGTGTGAATAAACTGTAGAATCACGCCCTGAAATGGCACCATTTCTAGGGTAAATTCTCCTACCTTTCAGTCCAGGCATTTTAGGAAGTGTCATGTAACACTGTCCAGCATTTTGAAACAATGACCTGATTTCTTCCAGTACATCTTGCATGGTGTAACACTAGGGATAACTTAGCTCTAACAATTTAAGTAAAAAGTCAGCAGCTACATTTTTACACATTTTCATAGATCAGTACACAGAAGCTTACAGCTTTTTGAGATAAATTCAGCAAACAGGAGGATATATATGAAAACAGAGTTTCAAAACTACACAGAAATCTGTAGAATAAAATATATATCTATACATAATTTCCCAACACAAGCAATTGGCAGTTTAGAAAAATACAATTGTTACAGTCTTTCTGAATCAGTAATTGTAAAAAGAAAGGATTTAAAAAATAAGTTCAGCTTTTCAAAATGCTGTATTTTAAATAAGAAAATAGACTGGTCTGCATTTCCCTGAATAAGCCAGAAAGGTTAAGGAAAGCTCCAAGCAAGACAAGGAGTCTGACTTGGATTTGATATCAGCTGTGATAACATGCACATGTACAGAGAGCTGCTTGGCTCCAGTATTATTTACCTTAGAAAAGAGCCTAATTTATCACAAATGTATTTAAAAATCATAAATAACATGACAAAAGTGGAACTGGTCCCTGCAAAGCAAATAATTATATTCATACAAGCAAAAAGTGACATCAATCCAGTTACTTTCTTGTGACAGTTAAAAAGTATTTTGTACCCAACTGTTACATTGAACAGCACATGTATAAACACAGATTATTATTACAGACTCTGCTATCAGCTACTATACATAAACAAGAAGAGATGTTCATGCTGTAATTGCTTCTAATGTTTTTGTTCTACTTGAATATTAACATTTACATGCAGCTGGAGACCTGAATTCAAGCCAGGGACTTCAACACACAAAATGCACAGGGTTTATGGGAAGGTTTCTGATCCTTCCCATTCTCAATATTTGGAAATAGGAGATCTGAAGGACTTTAAAACCATTCACAATAGGAGTTTCTCTTGTGCACAACCTTACGTTTCCTCTCTGCCCAGAAGTGGGTGATCTAACATGGGACATTCTGGTAACATTTCCATTTGCTTCAGTAAAACTCCCATTCAGGAGGATTCACAGTTCAGTTTCAGGTCACTTCTACCAGAAGGTGGCAAAACGTACCTCAGTATTTGTTGATTTTTAAATGAAAAACAGAGAACAGTTTGACTGTGGAAACTTCACTCCAGGCTGTTCTTAATAAGTTTTTAATATGTCCAAAGTAACTACTTATTAATTCTGTACAAGATAGAGTAAGTCCCCTCATTTTGTTGTAATTTTTGTGAAATAAATGGGATGTTTACTCACCCTATATGGGAGTGTTAGCACATTTCTTTAAACTTTCTTCTAGCTTGAAACTACGCAAAAGCACAAAAAATGATGGAAGCAAGATTGATGGAGTGTTGGTAAAGGGATCCAACATTTTTTATAATCTGGCCTTGTGAATTAAATTGGGCCCAAGACAGCCAGCTGCTTTGAGGAGTGAGGACAGGTCCCCTGTAGAAGCACGGTACATCGGTTATATTGCTAGCAAACAGTAATGCAGCTTCTGAGTCTTGTACCCTTTTTCAATGTCAGTGGTGTGTTATGTCTTACAAAAGGCAATGACAGGAAAATGCAACACCCGTGTTATTGCTTGTGTAATTACTTCACAGTGGTCCAGTATACCCAAGTAAACAAATGAGAAGAAGGTATGCTGTTGGAAAGGAAGCTCTGAGGCTGGGCAGGTGGAGTGTGCCCTACTAGGATCACCCAATAAACTCAATTAGCACAAATCAAAAGAAAAAAGAAGACCATCAGGGTCTTGGAGCAAGACAAAGTTGTGTCTTTCACCTTCTGGTCAAGTACATGTACTGAATAAAGACTGGTGTCTGGGGACAGACACACAGTACCATGCAGCATCCAAATACCCTTAAGAACTACCAGTGCTCAAGCAGTGACTTCCAGGTTAAACTCTTACAGGGTCTGATCTGGGAAAGTGATGGGAAAATCATCTTGGGTTCTTTTTTGTCTTAGAACCTGCAGCCCTAACTCCAAGCTTATTAAACCTCATTAAAGCTTATTAAAACACATACCTCTAAACTCTTCCAGCTTCTCTTTAAGTCAAGGTTTCTCTTAAAAGCTGCACTTGAAAGTTACACTGAAGTGGAATGTCACCTTTAAGTAGAGCAATAATTACACTCCCCATTACATATATATATATATACATATATATTTCATGTCAATGGAAAGTACTATACAGAGGCACTCATTCATATCTGTAGTGAAACGAAGTCTGTGGTGTTCAATGTTTATGGGACTTGACAAAAGAAATAATTTGATTTTGAAAGCAGAGTCAATTCAGGGAAAATAACAGCTCCTACCCCTGAACTGTGGCTGGAGGCCTCCCGGGAAAGTGCCAGTGAGGGTGGGTGGCACTGCAGCCTGCCTTCAGTTCCCAGCCTCTCAAAATTCACCTCTCCCTTTTAACATACAGCTCTTGATGGAGCAAAAAGGAGCTAAAATAAATGGTTTGCTATAGGGCTTGACAAATGAGTTGTGAAATCAGTTTTTCAAAAGTGACCAAAGTGACCATTTTCTTTTTCTTTCCTTTTTTTTTTTTTTTCTCCCTTTTCCCCAGCTCAGAAGTTAAAAAAATGGTCCTGGCTTATTAGGGTGCACAACAGCACATTCAAACACCCCTGGCTGCTCAAGGGCACACATCCTGGGGCCCCGGGCCCAGCAGTACATGGGAGCACTTTCACAGCGAGTGACAATGAAAGGATAATACAAACTGAAACAACAGCCCTCCTCACTGATAAAGGGGCATTTTTCTGCATGCAGTAATGGGATTACACATCAAAATCTGCTTAGAGAGAAAAGGGTCTGGGCAGGTTAAGAACAATGCTAATGGCAAGGCTTTCACTATTAATAATTGTTTGTCAAGCAACACCTTTGCACTCCCATCTGCAGTTGTGAATATTAAGGCCAGTCCCTGAACCAACACAGAAGGCAAATGAGGGCAGGACAGGGCCAGGAGACATGGAAGAGATGGGTGGCCAGGACCAGAGTCCCCTCAGATAGCAATGAAGGCTGTTTTGACACAGGGGCAGCAGAAACAGACAGAGAACCTGCAGGAGGAACCTCAACGGGAGAAAAATGTATTAAATTTCAATTTACTGAAACAGCACCAGATTTTTTTCTGTATGTATGGAGGAAGAACTGGCACCAGAGACAGTTAACAGAAAGGTGACAGGAATGATCAAGGATGTGGAAGAACTGTAATATGAAAAGCAGCAGAAAAGACTGAGATCATTTACTTTAGGTAGGAGACCAAGCCAAATCTCTGCTCTGATAAAAGAAGGAAAGACAAAGCATGGTCTGGACAGGGTAGTGTTGGTCTTTCTGCTTCCTCGAATTCAACATGTAGAGGCCAAAAAGGGAAAAACAAACAGCCCCCACAGCTAAACAAAAGCTTTCTGATTCAAAACTAATTCAGGGGAATACCTTTTCACACAACTCATAGGAAGGATGTAGAACTCACTGCCATAAATGGCTCTGAAGCCAGAAAGCCACTAGCATTCAGTAAGGCACTGAACAGACTTGTCCTCAAAATCCAGAAAACTAAAGGCAACACCTGGCATTTACTTGCAAAGAAACAGAAAACCTTCCACTTCAGTTCTACAATGAATCTCTAATTCCTAGAGATTGAACAGAAGCCTTCATGACTATCATTCTATGCATTTCCTCCATCTTTTCCTGGAGCATCAGCACCCACCACTTACCATTAATCTGTCACTGAGGGGGTTGATTTAACAGTTTCTCCTGCATTTAATGAAAAGAACACTCCCAAGGCTCAAATCTCAGGTAGAGTGTACCACGCTCAGGGGAGCCTCCTCCCACAGTCAGGGATGTGAAACCGGACAGTGAGGACACTGTCAAAATTTTGTCTGGCAGAGGACAACTAACCCTTGATCCTATGCCACTAGTCCTGGGTTGCTCTCATTATGCCAAATCTACATGTTCAACTCTTGCATCAAGATAACAGATTGCCTTTTGAAGACCTAATACCTCTTGCTGTGTCCACTGGGATGTTGTACCTTAACCTGTGCAGTTTCACCTCATGCATGCTTTACTAAGAGTAAACTGGCTAGCTCACAGGTACAATAAGCTAAAATCTGGCAATTGCTGAACTAGGTTTGGTAACACAGGCACCATGTAGGCTGCTGCTTGAATTGGTATATCCCTGATATACACATCCTTTTCCTTTCCAGATCTACTGATAACTCTCTGGTAGACACATTCATATTTTAAATTGGATAGACAAGAGATAATAACAAAAATAAACTGCATGACAGGTTATTCCATCCTGATTTAAATTTTTCTTTTTAAATGCTACATTCAAGAACTTTTGGTCTGCTTTGTTTTACCACTGTGCAAGTGCAAAATGAACTGACAATTCTCAGTGTGTGCAAGTCAAAAAAGTCATCTGTGCCTAAAACATACCACTCAGTTACCCAACACCTACAACTAATCTGTTTATAATCCATCATGACCAATAGATGATTATGTCTAAATATGGCAAAAATAAGATTGGTTTCTGACTGAATTATGATGTCTCTATCAACAATATTATCTTTAGTATTTTAATAAACTGGTTTCTGAGAGTTGCCAACTGCTGACAGATTAATGCAATAAACTTGTACTGGCTCAGAGCAGGTCAACGATCTGAGTACTAAGAATAACCTCAACAGCCCTCAGCAACTCTGAAAGAAGCTGATACAGTTCATTGAGCAAACGTGTTTTCAGCTGCAGACTAGCAACTGATACTATCCAGTAAAGTGTCCAAAAGCAGTTCTTACAGCCAGATGGTACATAACCTATGACCTGAAAGACATGTATGATGCCTGTCAAAGATATTTCTACTGGGGTATTTATACCAGCACTTCTTGAAAGGAAAAACTATTTCTTCAGTTTAGCAGGGTGGATAATTTAATTTCAGTGTGTAATCTTCAGTTATTCCTAAAGGTTTTGTTTGCTTTGGGAATCTCTACCATATAGCAGTTCTATTTTTTCTGGAGAAAATAAGACAATGTACTCATTTGCTGACACAGGTTACAAGAACTCCTGTATATGAACTCACCCTTCGAATATCTTTAGTGCTAATGAGATGTGTGTGAACACACATCAAAATAAAACAATTCCTATTTAATGCTGAAGAGGAGATAAGACAGAGCAAACTCCTGAGCTCCTAGAGCAGCTAAAGAGAACATCCTATTTCTTCTGACATGCAGAGATTACCATCTGCTTATCGAGTGATGGATATTTTTTGAAACATTTCTTCTCTTTGAGGTCTTCAACTACCCCAAGTGAAAAGGATTAAGGAGAATCAGAAGGCCATTCTAAAATCTCTCCAGATTATTCAGCGATCATTAAGTGGTTTGATTAGTTATGCTCATAACTTGCTTTTTCAGGCCCAAATTCTTGAAATTATTAAGTAACTCTATCAGGGAAAAAAAAGCTAGTACTTGGCAGAAATCATGACTGCTCTGGGGATTCTGTGGTAAAAGAAGGAGACTACCTTTTTAATGTGTGTGCACAGAATTGAACATGATTTTCATATGGAGATTTCTGGCATGTGCATATATAAATAACATTTAATACAACCTAAAGTGCTAGCTGGAATTAGAGAAAGGGCTCTTAATAGACATGTGGCACAATGGCAGTTTTCTACCTCACTGTATTGTAGTCATGGAAAATTCTGTTGAAAGCATCTGGATACAAAATCAATTATAATTATAAATCAGAACTGCAACAAATCTGGTGCAGGGCCTGGAGCACAAGTCTTATGAGGAGCGGCTGAGGGAACTGGGGGTGTATAATATAAGGAAGAGAAGGCTTAGGAGGGACCTTACTGCTCTCTACAACTACCCGAAAGGAGGACGGAGAGAGGAGGTGGCTGGTCTCTTCTCCCAAGTAACAAGTGATAGGACAAGACGTAATGGCCTCAAGCTGTACCAGGGGAGGATTAGACTGGATATTAGGAAAAATTTCTTTACAAAAAGGGTTGTCAAGTATTGGAACAGGCTGCCCAGGGAAGTGGTGGAATCACTGTCCCTGGAGGTGTTCAAAAACCATGTAGATGAGGCCCTCAGTGATATGGTTTAGTGGTGGACTTGGCAGTCCTGGGGTAAAGGTTGGACTTGATAATTTTAAAGGTCTTTTCCAACCTAGCCGATTCTATGATCCTATGATTAGGCTTGCTTTCACTCCAAAGATTGTGTTTGAGGTGTACCTTTGGGGGTGTGCAGAATTCTTAGTTTAACGCATGGGCACTGGAGTGCAGGGTTTTGCCTTCAATGCTGAAGGGTCATTAACACAGTTGATCAAATACTGGGTCCAACAATGCAGGCAAAAAGAGCTTGGAGAGACACCCAAGAGCTCTGCTCTGTGGATATCACCATCCAGCATAGGCTATGTGGCCTGAGCTAGATGCACAAACAGTTTACAAGCTCAGAATAAACTGAATGCAAACCCAGCAGCAAAAGCATGTTTCTAATTTAGGTTTTGAGGTTTTGGTTTTTGGATTTTTGGTTGTTTGGTTTCAGGTGGTTTTTGTTGTTGTTATTTTGGGGATTTTTTTAAACCTGCCACAACACTGAAACATCAAGGTAACAATGCAGTTATTCTGTTATGGACCTCTCTGTAGCAATTTTATCCTACAGTTCCATACATTTGTGAACCCATAAAAATCATTCAGATCAGACCAGGCAGAAAGAAATCTGATGTGAAATTTTGTGCTTTTATAGAAAAACTTGTCTCTCTCCCTACTGATTTTCACCTTCAGCTATATTATTTCTTGTTATTTTTACTTTCTCACTGGCATTTTGCTTTGGAAATTAACTTGGAACAGCTCACCAAAAGCCAGAGAAGTGCAATGTTGGTATGTCACAGAAAAGTGTGTGCACAAGTAAAAATATCCACAACCACATACAGGAAGTTTTGTTACTGCCCTTCTTTCCCCACACTTCTTACTACTGGTGCATTTAATTTGAAATGGAGATGTGTGTGACTATTAGCTCCTTGCTGTCCAGCCACAGGGGTTCATTCCCTCAGGGCTGGCAGCAATTTTTAGAGGAAAGCTGTGGGCAAGTTCATGGCTCTTGCATAGCTAATCAGAGGAGAGGAGGTATGTCCTCTGTCACCAGAAAGAACCGTTGCAAAGAAGGAATTCATCTGCCCCATTTTCAGACAAATTATAGCTCCTCTCCATCTGGCTCCTTCATGAATGAAATCACAGACCTTCCTTTGCTTCCCATTTAGATGTGAATGTCTGATTGCTCAGTGTACATTCTCTGCCTGCTCTCTAGAGCTCTTCTGCTACTTCCTGACAGGTTTTAACCAGCATCATTTCAGCTCCTCCTCATGCTCCCTGTGCATTCTACCTGAATACCTTCACCATGCCTACTCTCACCCTTCTAATTTACTCTCCACTTTATCAGAATTTTTATCCAACTCTAGCAAACTTGTGTAGTTGGAAGCATTATTAGAAACACAGTGACAGAGTCTTAGTGGTAGAAGAGTCTCTTCAGGACACTGGTAGAGTCCCTGTTACTTACCCCATTTTAAACCTTACTGAAGAAAAACTGTTTAATATGCAGTAGTACCAATATTGTAGCAGAGAGAGGGAACCAAAAAGATTCACATTTTTCCTCCACAGAACCTCCTAGTCCTCTGTGCTCACCCTGACTCCATTTCTTAGGCTTTATAAATTGTTGGACACCTCTCATCTCTTAGCTTTAGTTAGTTCTCTTTCACATCTGCCTGTTCTCCCTCATATGCGCTCATAATGAGCTCCTTGCTGCTACGCCTCCCTGTTCTACCCACGTTTGCTCCTTTAGCAAAACTTTCATGGTTTTGTTAAAGTGTGACTTCCTCCTCCAGTCTCTCAGCCACTACATAATTTACCTGTACCACAAATTTAATACTATTTTGGAACTTATTTGGAAAACAATACTGAATACACCATACTGATACCCCGAAGACAAGTTCCTCTGCCACACTGCCAGAACGGGAAAGTAACTGTTTCTTCTGTTAATACATTTTTTTCCATGATTACTACTGTGGCTAAAAACATGAGATGACAAGGGATAGCTTTCAGAAATGGCACAAACTTGTAGAAATTACCTTTTCTCTCATGAGTCAATTGGGTAAAAACACTACTAAGAATGGCTGCATCACAGTACAGTGAGAATTGCTTTAAAATTAAAGGCAATCTTAAAATGTATATTCAAAAATTTGATAGATCAGGCATAAGCTTAGGTAAATAAATGGCAAGTTGTCATCATCTTAGGCTATATAGAAATCTATGCTTGACTGTCTTTGATACAATCAGTTTATATTAGTTTAACAAACCATTAACACTAAAAAACATCCTAGGAAGGAATCTTGTTTACAGGGCAGTATTATTAAAGTACTTCCAACTTCTGCTCTGCTGACACTGAGCCAGGCTGCATCCCACTGTTCAGGCTTCATGATCCACTATGAAATGCCTCTTCACAATGCAAAACAACCCCAACAAACCAAACCACAAAATCCCACAAACAAAAAAAACACAACCAAACCCACTGCTTTTTATAAAGATCACTGACACAAGGTTTTGTTCAGTGCTCACAAATTTGTTCAGAAAATTATGACCTGATTTTTAAAAGTTCTTCTGCTATAGAGATGCTAAATATATATATATATATACTTTTTTCTTTGCTTTATTTCTACTGTAGTCTACCTCTGCTGATTCAGGTGGGCTGGAGAACACAGTAATTGGGAAAGAAATCTGGTAAAAAATATGAACAAGAGGAGGCCCACCCCCACTCTTACTGAAGTCAGTAGAAACATTTCCATTACCTCCTGCAGTCCCTGCATCCTGATACTGAAAAAAACCCCAAACGAACCCCAGCCCAAGATTTCAAATAGAATAGCTCCAATTTTCCTTGGGCTGAATGTCAACCACTGTATTCAAACATTATTCTACTATGCCTGCTCTCCAGTTTGCACTCTGGTGCATGTCCACATCTTCTCATACCTGCTCTGACTTCAGTTGTAAACAAGAATCTGACTTTTAAAATCACCCCAAAGCCCCCAAAACAAAACCATCTTTCAGTATTCCTTGCTGAAAGGTGGTAGAAACAGAAACATTGCAGGATTATCCTTAAACAGTGGATGAGTGAATGGTGGATGTTAGTTTGACCACAGATATATGCATTTTGTTATACATATAGATATGTACATACTTACACAATCTCTATATACACATTATAAATATAATAAAATATTGCAAAAATATTAATTTTGCTCATATACCTGATTAAAGTGGACTAATTTTATGTTGCATTTATATGACCTACCCAGTTGATATGATGGTCTTGTTAGAAGCCCTGAAATTGCAACACTTGCAATTGTTGAAAAGTCTGTATTTCTGACAGTCACCTTGTGCCATGCCAAGAAGTTAGGTTGGAGGTGGGCCCTTGTGTCTCAGCATCAGGTGGAAGGACCGAGCAAAGTTGTTGGCCAGAGAGCAGCTGTGGGCCTCCTCTGCCAGGGGCAGGAGGAAGGCCAGGAGCAGGAGGAGCAAGAGGAGCAGTTGCAATGGTAGTGCTGCCCAGCACACTCGATGCAGGAATGAGCACACACCTCCAGAGCACTTCTGAAAGACACAAACCAAAGAGCAACTCAGAAAAATAAAAGACCTGGGGAGGTGCATTTCAAATACATCCAACTGCCAGGCTACAGAACAACCCACATTGTCCTTGCCCTAGGACCCAGCCTGGGTGCCTGTTACGTGGCAGCTGACTGAAGATGGTGCTTAAATGATGTCTTTAGAAGAATATTTCATTCTCAAGAATTCAGTGCTGCAAACTATTGTCTTCTAGAAGGAAAATGCTGCTGACTTTCTAGCAGACGAAAACAATTGCCTCCAACTTCATTCTCCAATTACAAAGTAGTGGTTACAAATGCTGACACGAAAGTGGCATTTGTACTCCCAGTGTATAGAACAGAAGGTCTGTATTAGTAACTCTCCAGCCAGTAAAATGCTAGTGATGATGTATGGAAGAGAGGAGCCAGCCTTCTGCTCCCTATCAGAAGAAAGGAGCTTCGGTTGCAGCTCATCCAGCTCACAGCCATCTCTCCAACAGCAACATGTTCTTTGGATTCTGACACTGGGGTCCACGAGGCTGGAGGTCAGAAAAGTGGCCCTGCAGTTCAACTTGTACCTTAACAGGCCTGTCTTAAACTCTTACGTGGTGCAAGAGAATGAGAGAAAACACAACAGTGTGTGACAGTGAAGACAACACTAAAGTCACATTTACTGCTGAGCAGCCACAGAAGGGACACACGAAGAAGTCCCACTACACTTTATGCTGCTGCAAACCTAGAGTAGCTCAGTCAAGATCGTGAATTTAATCTGGATTAGCATGAACATGAGAGAACATATTTGTGGCTACAGAATTCAGAAAGTGAGATTTCCACTGGCAAGATTCCTGTATATCTCCTGCCCATCAGCAAAACTATGTATGTTTCACCAAAAAAAGGCCAACTCAACTGTCTGTAAGGGAGTCCTGAAAAAGAAGGCTCAACAGTCCATTAATTTCATCAAGCATGGATTTATAATCAGAACATAGAAATAATGTGGCTACAACATTATTGACCAACCTATGTCACGGATATCAACACAGAATGTCCACTGAAGTGGGACCCACACTTTCCACAAGAGTAAGCTAATCTGTTGTGTTCAAGCTACAGGTGATTTTGCTGCAGCAAAATTAGGGCTTCTGGCCTCTACTAGATGCTTGACTTAACAGGCAAGTACTCTGTCCCAGTACAGCACCGCCATCAATACTCCATGTGAAACATCAGAGAGAAGATAAGGAACAGAATGAAGGTAAAGTAATTACACCCTTTCCTACTTTTTAAGGATCTCTTTCTTCCACTGCTTTCTAAATTTCTCAGTCTCAGAATTTATTATGAAGGCAAATAAATAGTTGCAGTTACAGATCATGAAACAGTTGTGCTGTGAAATCCTTCTGCTGCAGTTGGTTTGCTTCCATTATATCTAAAGGCTGCAGAGATTTAATCATTGTGCGAAGCAGATGTAGAAGCAGCAGCACAACAGCTACTTGCTCTGTCATTTCTGGCCTGCAGCATCTGAGTTGTAACTTGCTTGCTCAGCAAGGTCAGCAAGCAACTCAGGTCCCTGGACAGTGGAACTGTCAGTAGTTGGGGAGCAATGAGTACCTGTCAGGGTGTAGGTGGGACTCTGACTTTAAGCACCATTGGGCAACTTCCTGGGTACAACTAGCATTTACCCACAAAATTAAACTTCAACAATGCGGCTGCACCACAGGAGTCACCTGCTCCTACTGTGACCTATTCTCAAACACTCACCAAAGCACCAGGTGTAAACAGCTGTATTAATGGGACCTTCCCTTCTTTAGCCCTGGAGTCCAGACCTAACATCCTTCATCTCCCATAGATTCCAGCAGCCTATGGGCTGAACAAAACCTGCAGGGCTTCTGTGTTTATAGTCAGTGCTACAACTGTTAAAGGCAGCAGCCACAACTTCTGATCAGAGTTTTCTGGGCTTGTCTCTGTGATGCCATGAAACAGCCACTCCTTGGTGCAATCAATATAAACCAATGGATGGACAGCTTCTGTTTTTATTGACTATTTCTCATTCGTAATTCTTCATTGCATTCATAATATGCAGCAATATGTCACATTTATTATAGTGTCCCATCTATAAGGAAGAAAGCCCCTTCCAGGTTCCAGAAGCCATGGACAAGTTTGTGCATATTAACAGGTGCAGTTTTGTTGGTGGAAGATCAGAATTACCTCTGCCTTGGGACAATTCAAACCATGTTCTTTCTTCTACCACTAAGGCATAATAAGATTTAACACTGATGTTGTTAAAGGGCAGGATCCTGTGACTGACCGTTCAATAGTTCATTGAACTTTATGGCTGGAAATCTCAAAAAATGTTCTCACAGACTCAAACTGAGAATTAAGAAGCTGCCTCTCACTGACACAGTTGTAAGAAGGTCTGCCAATCTTCCTAGCAGCACCTAAAGCTTTTGCTTTACAGCTGTCAATACTTCAGCATTGGATTTGACAGCTACTGCAATCTGAAACTGTTCTTTCATTGCAAACCAGCTGCAAGACCCATCTTCACATTTAATGCCTTCTGCCTCTGAACTGGTGGGAAACAGTGGCTTTTCCACTTATGCCTCAACAATGTTCCTGCCATTGCCCAGGGACCAGCTGTCTTACTGTCCCACCAGTTTGTCGCTGGCTTCCTGTGATGACCACACTGCCAATTAGCCACCCACATTATTCCTACCCCAATTCTTTTACCGATCCAGCATTTGATTCAGAGTGGGTCACTGGCTCTGCCCTATCAATAAAGCAAAGGTTATTAATGCAAATTTCAGAAATGGGATGAGACAGAAATGTTACTAAGTGTCTTGTTTTCAGATCTATTGAAAAGAGCTGTAAAATAGCATTACTTTTCAAAGCTCATCTTCCAGGAGAAATTAATGTGAAATGGCTTTATTAACAACTGATCGTTGCTGGGTTTATAGGCATTTGTATTTGATGAACTTTTGTCTTTGCTGCCCAGCTTCTCTGTTTTGTTTGATCATGCAGCAAGGTTAGAATCTTGTATTTCTGACTCCATTTGTTGCCATGGGAATGACTCTGCTATGACAAACATGGTATTACGATGTCTCTGCAGGACTGAAGATGAGGCACACAGAAGCTGTGAGAGTTTGGTGCTTTCAGCAAATTTGCAATGATAAGCCCTTAATACATGAGGGCCCCAGCCTCCACACACTGAAATCCATGGGAGATTTACCATTAACTTCAGTTTCTGCAGCAGGATTCGGAACTACTTATTCATGAAGTTCAGCAGATACCCTTACTTCATTATTTATATGCCCAGGTTCTTGTGCACATGAAACCTACATTAGTTCTGTTGTTTTGTGCTTGCTGGAACAATTGGTGATATTATTTTTTGGGCTTTTTTTGGTGGTAGTGCTAGAGGTGTTATAGTTAAAGGATAGAAAATTGTGAAGGAGATGCAGTGATAACAGGAGAGATGATACAGTTGGAAGAAGCAAGGAAGGTTTTTTTCTCCAAGTGTGGAAAAACCCCAGCACTTCAATTTTACTAGGACTAAATCAAGGTGTTTGTTTAGGTCTGTGCTGTGAGAGAGAGATGCTTTCAGGCTGTGGTGACTTGAGACTATGGTACCAACATGGAATTCAGGAGGCCAAGGCTCAAACCTCTGCTTTGCTGGGCTCAGAGTCATCAGGGCTCTAGAATCTACTTGGAGTCAGGACAATACTCCCAACCCTTCAGCATATCATTCTGGGTTAGAAAAGGACATTCTGAAACAGTTCCACCTTTGCAAAAGACAGCGAACATTTAATTTCCATATGAGATCACAGGTGGGAACCACAACACACAGTGTTACACAGTGGAATTCCTCTTTCCCAATCACTGGCTAATGGCATCAGTACAGCAACTACCCAGCACCCAGAGTGCTTACAGTGCATATGTCAGATCTAGGCTCCACAAAATATTCTGAAATCAAATTTTGCTCTGAGGAAAACTGGCAAAGCTCCAGTGAAGTCAACAGAACTTTAATTTCCACCGTCTTAGAAAAACAGCTGGGATACCTGGGTATTGAGCTGAAGTGTCAGAGACATTTTAGAAACACATGGAAAAAGAACAGGTTGAGATTTACAAAGAAAACATAAAGTTCACCATCAAAGATAAATGTCCTCCGCCTTCTCCCTCAAAATACCAGGACAAGAAAGGACTATCAAGGGGTAGATGGTTGTGTTTTGTGTAATGCTAAATACATGCTTGTTACCAAATGAATTGCATTGGCTGTGAACATTCACATTTGTACTTGATTCATGTTGGGGCATTTGAATGACAAGCATCGGTTTAGATCTAGGGAATCCTCAGCACTTAAATCTGTTTGCAGTTAATAACTCCTTACCACATGCACCATGAAAAATCACTTTGATGGGAAACAGCAGAAAAGCACTTTAGAACTTGCTACATAATTCCTGTGTAAGTTGCTAAAGTGTTTTACTAAAAATCAGTGCGTTCCCGGTTTGCTATTGACCACATTCCAGGGTATATGAAAACACACTGTTAATCTAGCTATTTGAGGAAGCAGAGAAATATAGCATCTTAAACCATGCTCATTAGTGGGTATTTGCTGCTGCTTGTACGTGACCAGCATGCCTGATACAAATCATACCTGCACCACTGAATCAGTGATCTAGTAGATTTAGTTTGGATTTATTCTTCTCAGAGCATTTCATGAGAGACTGCCCTGGGAAATGCACTGCTGCCTGAAAACTCCTACTCTATCCATGGATAAAGGTACCAATGCCCTAATGTCCTACAGACACTATATAGACAGAGACACCAACAGCCATGATGCTTCATGTCAGTGCTGTACGCAGCCCAAGTTCCTATTTTCTACAGCAATCAACACAGATGCTCCTCCAGCTCAGGCAGTTTCCTCAGCCTTATGTAGATTGCCCATCTAGTTATCAATTAGTGAATCTTTTTTCCAGATACTTGTCCAGTTTCCCCATGAGCTTACAAAAACTATCCAAAGTCCTCAAT